GAGCAAGGTACGCAATTTCCTGTTTACTCTGTTAGCCAAACTTTAGGTAAAGAGGATACCCGGTACTTACACTTAGAAAAATTAGCGCTTGCTCTAATAAACGCCTCTAGGAAATTAAAATTGTATTTTCAATGTCACCAAATTTGTGTTGTAACCACTTACCCCTTTCGCAATATTATGCACAAGCCCGAACTCTCGAGCCGATTGGCCAAATGGGCCGTCAAGATTAGCAGGTACGCTATTGGGTATCAACCCAAAACAACCATCAAGTCTCAAATCTTGGCAGACTTCATGGCCGACTTCACGTCAGCCCTCGTACCCGAGGTCGAAAAGGAACTACTGTTAAAACCGGGTACATCCTCGGGGGTGTGGACCCTCTTCATGGAGGGCGCTTCGAATGTGAAGGGGTCCGGGTTAGGCATCATTTTAAAGCTACCCACAGGCAATACGATTAAACAATCTATCAAAACTCCTAAGTTGACTAACAATGAGGCCATGATTGCAGGTCTCGAACTAGCTAAAGGCTTGGGAGCAGAAGTCATCGAGGTGAAATCTGACTCCCTACTTGTGGTTAATCATGTCAACGGGAACTTCGAGGTTAGAGAAGATCGAATGCAGAGGTACTTGGACAAACTGCATGTAACCCTGCCGGTTTAAAGAATGGACCCTACAGCATGTACCTTGAGAACAAAATAGTGAGGCCGTTGCCCTCGCAAATTTGGGATCATCGATCGAAGACGACGAAATTAGCTCGGGGACTATCGTGCAACTTTTGAAGTCGGTAATCGAAAAAAGCCACGCCAAAATAAACTCCACAAGCCTAACTTGGGATTAGAGGAATAAATATATCGAGTATCTAAAAAATGGGAAGCTTCCATCGGACCCTAAGGAATCAAGGACTCTACGAACAAAGGCTGCATGATTCACATTGGACGAAGATGGAACATTATACACAAGGATATTTGATGGACCGTTGGCAGTATGTTTGGTCCGGGAGACACCAACTACGTTCTACGAGAAATTCATGAGGGTACTTGCGGGAACCATTCCGATGCTAAATCACTGGTTCAGAAGTCATCAGAGCGGGATACTACTGGGTCGATATGGAAAAGGATACTAAGGAATTCGTTCTAAAATACGACAAATGCCAAAGATATGCATCGATGATCCACCAGCCCGGAGAACAGCTTCATTCAGTTATATCCCCGTGGTCGTTTATGAAATGGGGAATGGATATCAACGGCCCTCTGCCATTGCCCCAGGTAAAGCTAAATTTATTTTATTTATGACTGACTATTTCTCTAAGCGGGTTGAAGCACAGGCTTTCGAAAAAGAAGTTATAGACTTCATCTAGGATCACATCATATGTCGATTCGGGATACCTGCTGAGATAGCATGCGACAATGGAAAAAAATTTATCGGCAGCAAAATAACGAAGTTCCTCGAAGATCACAAAATAAAAAGGATATTGTCGATGCCATATCATCCTAGTGAGAACGGACAGGCCAAATCAACAAACAAGACCATCATTCAGAAGCTAAAGAAAAGGTTGAACGACGCTAAGGGAAAATGGAGAGAAATTTTGCCCGAAGTCCTTTCGGCGTATCGAACAACGTCAAAATCTAGTACGGGGGCAACACCGTTCTCCTTGGTACATGCCGTTGAAGCTCTGATCCCGGTCGAGGTCCAGGAACCTAGCGTCAGGTTTCGATACACAACGGAAAAGTCAATCACAAGGCTATGAACACAAGCCTCGAACTGTTAGATCAAAAACGGGAGGCCACCCTCGTTAGAATGGCAGCACAGAAGCAACGCATCGAAAGATACTACAACTAAAGAGCCAATCTTCGCCACTTTCGAAGGGAAGCTCGGCCCAAATTGGGAAGGACCTTATCAGGTCCTCGATTTCATCGGAAAGGGACCTTACAAACTTGGCACGACGAACGGCGAATAATTGCCAAACAATTGGAACATATCACTCCTAAAACAATATTATTGCTAAGGTATGACTTTCTCCTTTTTCATTTGTATTTGATGCTAACTTATTACAGGTGTTCGATCGAAAACCTTAGGTTTTAAAGCACGCGTTGCACTCTTTTTCCCTCAGATCGATTTTTTGTCCCAAATGGGTTTTTCTGGCGAGGTTTTTAACGAGGCAACAATTATTTGTGCTACCGGGGGATAATTCAATAGTATCTGAGGCCTCTTTGCAATCAAACTCGAATACTGGGGGACATCACCCTCGGATGTTATGTTCTCAAAGAAAATACTTTGTATCAATAGGGGTAAATTTTGTAAAAGGGCCAAACGACCAATTGAACCGTGTCCATGTAGATTACTCGATCCCCTATGAAAAAAAACATGTACGCATGATCTATTGAAAGAAGTATTTGTTTTCCTTGCCAGATGTTCCTTGCCTTAATAAAATTTCTACTTTACTTATGATCTATTGCGGAAACTGGCTCAAGCATCGATCGCGATTAAAGCTCGAGCAATCAACCCCGTACTCGGGAACTGCCGTCCAAAAATCGACATGTTCGAAATACCAAACTTCGAGACCATAAGACCTTGAAAAGGTAACCCTCGATTTTATAGGTCATAGCCACCCCACTCGGGGACTAACGCTTTGAACAAGTTCGAAGCGTAATTGAGAAACAAGCCCAAAGGGCAAAGCTCAAGTTAAAGGCTACGGCCAAACTAAAACGGTTCGGAGACGTCCGAATTCCGTAACAAAACAGGCCTCCTAATATTTTTACAAAACCGGTTAAACTAGGCTACCCTCGTCAAAGTTACAAAGGGTTTCGATAACATCAACCCTCAAAAACCTTAAGGGCACCAAATTGTTCGAACTCTCGAACAAGCTTATGCTAAGGCATAACAAAGTAAAAGGTTTTCGATAACACTGAATCCTGATGGGTACAGATTTATCTCGTGCTAAGGCATAACAAACTTTTATATGATTAAACTTTTTAAGCCGAAAAGGGAAAAAGCATCTCTTTTGAGGCCATATCGGCCCAATTCAAGAGCCTAAGGGCCATTATATTGAAATTGAGAACCCACCCTCACTCAACTGAAACCTAAGGGTTTTTTCTACTCCGAGTTTGAGCAACTACCCACTCGATTATAGAAACTATACTAATTTGACTTCGACAAAATTTTTGCAAGGCAACGAAGTGAGTCAAAATTCAAGTATAAGGCAAAAAGCAAAACAGAACTTTCACAAAATGGAAATCGGAGACGAGTCTGAAAGAGAAGAGATCTTTCATATATGCAAAAGTATTTACAAAGTCCACTCAGGATCTTGCACAAAAAATTTGAAAAAGAAAAAATTCTAAGTGCCTAATCTTTCCGGGGAGCCTCATCCTCATCTTCATCTTCTCCACTCTCGGATCCACTCGCGTTCCCGGAGTCTTCATCTCAGAAGAAAGCAACGCTTTAGCCTCGGCCTCGAGTACTTTCGCGTTCTCGATATCGACAGCAAGGTCGAAGTCGCGAGCATGGATCTCCTCAAGAGTCTCTCTACGAGACTGGTACTTGGCATGCTTGACAGCCTAGCATGATCGAGTCTGAGCGGTGCCAACCACTTCTCTCGCTCGGGCTTGAGCAGCTTCAACATCAGCTCGGTAAATGGCCACGATCGCCTCCGCTTCAGCCTTTACTCTTTCTGCCTCAGATGTGGCCTTTGCTAGATCGGCAGCCAACCTAGCCTCGAGCTCCTCAATTCTTTTGGATTTTTATCCATATTTGACCCATTTTTAAAAAAGTTCTTTATCCAATCCATTTTTAGTGGATAATATGGATGGATAACTGTTTTTTATCCCTTTTACCACCAGCAGCAGAGAGTGTCATTTTCTTGGATAAATTTTTGTTTTTCGGGTACATCCTGGACAATCTTTATGCGGAGATAACAGCACAACCCTATCTAATTTTTATTCTTTGATTTTTTTTTAATTATATATGCAAAGGGAAGGGGAAGGGGAAGGAGAACGGGAATGGAAAATTGGGTAAGAAAATTATAAGGTGGTAAATCGAATTTCCACCGACTAAGTGAAAGTTCACATAGCCAACTTTATCTAATATATATTCTTCGCACAAAAAGATTAAAGATTCTAAAACTCAGATGAAGATTAGTAAGAAAGTGGAATCAATTTCAATAGATGATGAAGATGAAGGTCAAGCTCGTATCCACGTGGAGAATAGTTTAGTAGTTTATTGTCTATCATAATAGTTTTTGTATTTTAACTATTTGATATTTGTAGCTTATTGGTATGATAAGTTTGAATTCGTACGGATCGATAATATAGTGCATTATAAGGGCAAGGTATGGCTCAAATTGGCAAATTTGTTTACCTTAGATGGGGTTCTGTTTAGTCCAAAGTGCACTAAACTTCAACTTGAGAAGGTCTTTGGTTGGTTTACAAATTAAAGAAAAAAATGACTTTTTTACATAATTTTCATTAATTGAGTGACATTTGAATAATCAAATCTTAGTTTCAATTTAAGTAGGATTGAGGTATGATCCGGCCAAAGTAACGCATTAACTTGATTGGAATTTACAACCAGAATATCAGCCTAATTAACTCCGATTGGAAAAAATCACTGTAAATTATCTGCAAAAAGCTTAAGATAAATTGCTAGAATATAAACTATATAGTAAAGCTTGTTTGATGTCCATCCAATCATCCTAAACGACAAGGGTTGGAAATTCGTCACATATATTTACTAATTTAACGTTCAAACAATTAATTCCGTTTTTTAGTTATAGCTTACCTTAAGTTCATGTATCGACATTGTAAAAAATATTTACATATTAGATCACTTAAATTTCAATGATAAATTATTAATCAATAATCTAATAAAATGATAATTAACCTGCTATTATAGTTAAATTATACGAATAACGTGATACATTGTTGATATGTATATAACTTAAATTGATAAATTTATATTCCATATATTTTTACATGAATAAAAGAGTAGAATCGAACCATAACCTTCACTTCAGAGCAAAAGCAGCTGCCTCAATTCATGTATTATTGCTATCTTCTTTTTGATACACTGCCATCTTATACGACTTTCTCTTATGAAGAAAAGATTTCTTCAAAAAATTATGTCCATATTAAACAAAAGGCAGAGGAAAAAAGTAAAACAAATAAATAAATAAATAAATAAAAAGAACCCCAAGAAAAGATTCTTCAACAAAGTTGCAATTCATCTTGGAATTGTTTTGGATTTATTTGGGAATTTCAATTGTAGCTTTATATGATAAGTAGCTTCCAAATTATCAGAATAATGGTCCCTTTCTGTTTGTGCAAAAACAGCTAGGCCACGAGCAAAGGCAAAATAGCCAGTACCACCAACAACAGTCAACTCTTCCTTATTATCATTTGTCAAACTCTTAGCTTCAACACTTAAACTTCCACTAAATTCATTGTTATTAAACGTAAGATAAATAATATTAAACGCTGAATTCGCGAAATCTTGAACTGGGATGATAAAACCTTGCGCTTTTCCAACTACTCGAGAGGTGTTTTCTGGCCCTTCAGTTAGAAGGCGATGGAAAATCAAGGCACCAACGTCTGTGGGAGCTTTTTTAGGGGAAAAATTGGAAGTCGAGACTTGAGGTTGTTGAATATAAAGTGATAAATCAACCCAAGGAGAACTTTTTGATATTTTTTCGTGGGGTATTGGTGAGAATATTGCAATGAGAATGACTGAAAGTGTAGCTAGAAGAACTGCAGTGCAAAAGATGATTCTTGCTATCATGATTATAGAAAATGGTTTGAATGAATACTTAGATTGTTTGTCTTCAAAAGAAATGAATTTGATTTTGAGGAATGGGATTTTGACGTATCATTGTTTTGGAGAGGTTGCATTTAATACAGTTCCTTTTTAGGGGGTTTTGTTAAACTTCTATTAAAGGTTTTGGTTACTTAATCCACCATTTGTTTTTTCACCTAAACCATGTTGAATAGTGTATGAGTTTCTTGTGCATAATGAAATTTACAGCTAGAAAATTGATCACGTCTTGCTTGTTAAATAGGAGCTTGTTATTTTTAATTTTTCACTTAAACACTTTCTTTTCACATTGTTAGCATGATAATAGTGAAGGTCTAGTTGGATAATTATGGTCTCTGGAGCTCGTTAGTATTAGAACGTGTGATACTATAATTCGAATCGTGTAGTCGAAAATATTTATAAGATAAATAATTATTTGATCAATTTTCAGACTACTGTAGTTAGAAAGTTAGATTGTTTTCTGGTCATTTGGCAAATTAATTTATCCGACTATTGTAATAGGATCCAAAAATTTCGACTACTATAGTTGAAAAATATTTTCTGACGTACTTTTTCCGATTACACCATAATAGCTGGAAAGTAATTGAAAATTAAGATTTTTCGACTACTTTCCGCCTATTTTTGTAGTCGGAAAAAGTGATTTTCTAGTGATGTGTTATGGTAAAGTATCATTTGGTTAGAGTTGGAGCTAGGAATTGAGTTTATGGATTTTAAATTTGTAGAAAAGATAGCTTACTGGATTCTGGATAAATTATTATACATGTTAAATATTTTTTTTAACATAAATATAAAATTTGGACCAAAGCTATTAAGTCCTGCTATACTCATAAGTTGTACCCTAGCTCCGCCCCTGCATTTGGTAAAAGATCTAAAACCAAACTTAGAGGATGTTTTAGCTTATAAGTTGATCAAACTAGCTTATAAGCACTTTTCGACTTATCTACGCGTTTGGTAAAGTTAAAAGTGATTATAAGTCAAAAATAAGCCGAAAGCCATAAGGTAGTCACCCCATTATGAATTTTTAGCTTATAAACACTTTAAGTTTGATTAAAATTTTTACTATTTTATCCTTAAATATTTCTTTCTAGAACAAAACTCCTACATCGATACTTATTGCCTCAAATATTTTGTCCTGTTTAGGTTTATTTTTTTACTGAAAAACTTTTGTCAATTTATTAATTATTATAACTTATGAGTATATGCTTATCATAAAATAAATTATATTTATCATAAAAATTATCTTATCTAAGCACATTTGTATTTAAAATAAAATGAGAAATAGAATATTTTGTATTTGAATCGATCTGGAATTTAAAATTATAAAAAAATTACGCCCTTATAAGTGTAAACAGTTCTATGGTTATTTACGTCATTTTAACAGAAAAAGAGCTTATCAGCATTTTTTTATCAAATACTGCAGCAACTTATTTTCAATTTCAGCACTTGTACCCAAACACGTTACTGCTTATTTATTAAATCAATTTCAGCACTTAAAAGTACTTTCAGCACCTAATACTTATCCGCTGCTTCAAATCAGCTAATCCAGACGGGCTCTTAATCACAAAACAAATAATGAAGAACAAACTTTTAGAAGATGAATTATGGGTTGCGTCATGATTCAACCAAGTAGGTGTAGTGGGTATAGCATGAGCAAATAAAACATTGATTAACGTACTACATGCATATGGGGGCAACTTCTTATTTACGAAAGAATTACAACTCACAAAAATTTACCAACATTTGTTCGATCTTTGAAAGCATTCATTTCGTCCATTGTGTCACATGAGTGCCTCTAAGACTGTTGCACATGTAATCAAGTGAAGGTGATGACATTTTATTTCATTTTCTTCATAGGACCAAGTCACTTTCTTGGTCCCTGTGGAAGAAGAAATTGTACAAGGTAACAAAAGGAAAAAGACACTATGATTTTTTCCCTCGTGAAACTCTTTTTTCAACTAGCAATTACAATGCGACACATCACAGAATTTTAAATGACATATGATACTATGTTATATATATATATATATATATAGTGAAAGAAAGAGAAGTTTTTCAACAGCCCTATAGCCTCTCGAAAATAAGTATAGACGTCTCTGTACCAATCCGCAAGACTCTACTAGATTTGCTCGTGACTCAAGCAAATCATTTTGTTCACTGAGTTCCTAGACTGGAAGGTACACCTGGGGACGAGGCTAAACCCCAAACTCAGAAGTAAAATTATTGAATATCTTAGAAAAAATGATAATGTATAGCCGCTATAAAAATAACAACCGAAAAAATGTATAAAATTTGCATCTTTTTTTTGTATATATATATATATATATATATATACATTCTGTATGTTATATACAAAAATTATACAAGTTCTATACACTTTTTCAGCTACCAGATGTAAATAGTTTCTAGCGCGGGCTAAAAGTGATAATACCCCAATATCTTAAAGCTAACGTAGATTGTTATCAGGATAGATCTTAGGCTATTATATGCCTTGTTTCGCTATCATGCTTCCTTGATATTATCTTTTCTTCACTTGTATGGCTACATGAGCTATTACTCATGCTAGAAATCATGTCTAGGCTATATGCTTACCTATTGAAACAAGTTCTAAATGACAAAACGGACCTAATCCTAGTCTCAGAACAATAATCCGAATCCGATAGCCTCAAATCAACTCATGATCAAACTTAAAAACTTTCTAAACTTTTAAATTGCCGACTTTAGGCAATATAACATTTTTGTTTTCTTACCTAAATCGTTCCGCTAGTAGATAGCAGTAGGAGAGATCCATTATGGTAAAAATCGTTCATATTTTTGTTTTATATATATATATATATATATATATATATATATATATATATGCGCGCGCGCACGCGTATACGGTAAAAATTAGGCCTGCTCTGGAACGTGGCAGGCCAAGGTTCGAACCCATTTTATCTATTCCTTAAATACCCTAGTTTTTAATTTCTATACTTTACTTGTGAGAGGGGTCTTTTGTAAATTTATAGCAAAGCATAATTTTTTTCTCTTAGCTTTCTCTCTCCCGATTTGCCTACTTCTCTTTTCTCCCTTTCTTTATCCTCTCTCGCTGTCTCTTAGCTATTGTGAATTAGGAATTGAGAGTTAAATGTGGGCTTCAAATTTCGAATTTGTGATAAATTGTTACTTTGGGTTTGTGTCAAAGTAGTTTTGATCTAGATAATGGAAGGTAAGTACCGTTGAAAACATTGGTGGCTCAAAAATTCCGAGTCCTCCATTGATACACCTTTGAAGCTTCTGGGTTTTGTGTCAGATCGAAAAAAAAAATTACTCAAAATCGACTGGGTGTTATCTTCAATTGTTGGAAACTGTTTTGCAAACTTGAATTCGAAGTTTGGGGAGTTTTGGCAACTGATTTAAGGTGTACCAGACTGAAATTCCAGTTGAAACTCAAGTTTCTTAGATCTGAAGAATTCGAATTTCGTGGTAGTATTGGTTCTATTAACTTTTATTTTTCTCTTTACTAAGCTAACTGATAAAATTAATTAAGTTTCCACTTTTTCCCATTGGAATGACAATTGTTGAATAATTACAGAGGAGAGAGAGACGGTAAGAGAGGAACAGGGAGAATGACAGGAAGAATGGGTGTTGGATCTAATATTTCGTGAAAAGACCAAAATGTCTCCCCTATTAAATGTGTTGCAATAAACTATTAAGGGTATTTAAGGAAAAGACAAAATGGGTAGGGTGCTAACATACTACCTTCATGTAGTATGTTAGCAAGACCCATATATATATATATATATATATATATATATATNTTTTATTACTGAGCGGTAATAGTTTAATATTTTCTTCCTTTTTATACATTGTCTCTATTTTATTAAGATTAAGATTATTTACTGAAAATTCTACTGAAAACAATTGAATGAGAAATTCTTTTTGTCAGTTGACACTAACTTAATAAAATAGAGACAATGTATAAAAAGGAAGAAAATATTAAACTATTACCGCTCAGTAATAAAAGATGCTTTTAGGCATCAAGTATCTGCTACGGCATTCAAATCAATATCGGATCACTTAAATTCATGCTGCGTAGTTCTCCTAAGGAGATAAACCGCTCTTTATCGAGAAATTTTTTATTTTTAGGACTCGACACCTTTTGTTAGGAGAAATTTTAGTCATCACACCTTTGTGTTTTATGATCGCACCTACTACTCAGTGGTACTATGCTTCATTACCTAAAATTTTAAATGGTCCACTACCTCCAATTACTCGGATAGTCTATATATACATATGACTGGTCATTTACTACTTACATTGTTCAACAAAAAAAGAAGGTACCATGAGTACAACAAACTATCTAAAATTGTTACTCCTATTCCAAAATTTATTCTCTTTAGCTTGCCTAATAAGCAGCCAACCTACAGCCCCATCAACAACACCAACCACAACACCAGTGCTAGACATGGATGGCCATGAGCTCCAAATTGGCTCAAAATACACAATTTTACCTAGTCAAAATGGAACTGGAGGAGGTGGACTAGCACTAGCAGCTAAAGACAGGCCATGTCCTTTTTATGTCATGCAAGAAAACCTTGAATCATCCAATGGCCTTCCAACAAGATTCATGCCAGTTGACAATAAACAAAGTGTCATAAATCATTCTACTGATTTAAACATTGTGTTTTTTACTGCCACCATTTGTGTGCAGTCCACGGCGTGGAAGCTCGGTGGCGCGGACGAGATAACCGGCCGGAGGTATGTCATGAGTGGTGGCATGACTGGCCGGCCGGGGCTGGAGACAGTGAGCAATTGGTTTAGGATAGAGAGGATTGGGAATGGGAGTAGTATTAATAATGGGTATTATAAGATTGTGTTCTGTCCTGGGGTTTGTAATAATTGCAAGGTAGTGTGTGGGAATGTTGGTGTTTTTAATGAGAATGGGAAGAGATGGCTTGGGTTGAATGATGAACCACTCGTTGTTAGGTTCAAGAAAGTGTTGAATTAGTATGAAGAATTGAACTTTTCATTTTTCTTCTTATTTCTTTTGGTTATAGCTTAAAACATTGTCTTCAAATAGTAGATTTAGTAGTCTGCTTTTTGCATGAAATACTTCCTCCTTGAATCTGCAGGTCCATGCTGTTAACAACGTTTAAGCTTTTCATGAAAGGAATTAAGCATAGTTAATGAATATAGTTTCCTAGCTTTGTGTATCAAATTTTGCTACCTGTTAAAGGAAATTTCTTGTGAGATTGGAGATATCCCAACACTAGAAATCATTGAATTGCATTGTTGTGGCCCTTTGCCTGGGATCTCTGCTAGAAGAATCCATGGCCATCAAGAAAGTCTCAGAAACAATAGCCAATTAAGAAAAAGTCTCAGAATCCATGGCATTGTTGGAGATATCCCAACACTAGAAGTTCGCATCGATCAAACTAGAAAAATTAAGGAGTGTTAACAATTTGTATTATGGTTGATTTTAGTTCCTATTTAGATGATCTTGCTGCTGAAGTTTGTAGCAACAATTAGTACTATGTCTTGAATTACTCGTTCTGATTGTGCTCTGTCCTTGTACCTGTGATGGTTGTAACTTGTAAGGCAGTGTTTCGGAATAAAACTAGGAGAGTGAGAATTAACCTGTTGAGGCATTATAAAACAGTTGGCTAGGATTGTAAAATAAAACCAGGAGAGTGAGCATTAACCTGTTGAGGCATAGGCCAATGCTAAAATGAGTACTAGCTTTCATGTACAGAAGTTACAATTTAAATCTCATACCTAAAGGTATCGGTTGGCTTTGCCATTGCCAAACTCCCTTTCTCATTTGATACTCAGTCTTACAGATACCTTCAACATTTGAGTTGAAACATAGATCACAAATTCTCTTTCAGCTAAACCATTGTTTATCAATACTTTGGGGTACAGGGTGCTGCTGAGTACAAGAATGACTATAAGCCCTAACTACTTGCTTGTTTCCTGGTAAGGACAGTAGACATAAAGTGTACTTTTGGTATTTTTACTAGGACAACATGATGAAGTAAGCATCACTTGATCAAACTTCAAAAGAATATCCTGTTGTTATTGGCCACGACTTTGAGAAGAGAGTAGAAAAAGTTTCAGCAAAAGAATGAGAAGATATACTGATTTACTCCAAAATATGTGACTGAGATGCTGGTCCATCTTCGTATCATATGTACCTCACCAACCATTCCAAGCTCTGTCATGTATGAACATTCCATTAGGGAACTTCTTTGAAAAAAGCAGTAACCTCATTAAACTAATATCACAACTTTGATTATACAAAATTTTAAAAAAAAGGAGTGACTTAAGTGTTGTTTTAGTTGTTTCAGTCTCTCGACGTGTGTTTCTGCGGAGAAACAAAAGATGAGCTAAATATTGGTAGTTAGGGATATAGTACCTTTATGCATTCAGGTAAATCGTCGTCTTTCATTTTGGCATGAGTCTGCAAATGAAGAGATGAAAAAGCATGTGAATTAGAGTTCAAATGCACTTTCCGTCACGACTCCACAGTCCACACTAGGAGAAAACGCTTGAGCTGATATCGTATTTGAAGTCGTATTTTCAAGTAGAGAAGAAAGTTACAGACACATTTTACTTGGATTAATAAATATGTCTTTCAGAAATTACCTTTGTGACCAAATAGCAGGAGGCATAAAGATTTGCAGATGATGAAGCGAGAAACACCAGTGAGGAAGCTACAGTTGATGGTCTGTAGCACAAGTGATCATGACTGAGCAAAGCTAGTACTGCCAGGTATTTCGCAGTCCTTTCCACACGTTCGCCTGCTCTAGCAGCTTTAAGGTAGAACCTGTGCCATTGTGACGAAAGCCGTAAAGTAGATGGAATGGCTCTTTTTAGTGAAGGCAAAATCATCAAATTTCAGATCTTGAGCAATTGTATAGCAATGGTTAATCTTTGTACCATAAGAAGTTGTATATTGTGGGAAGAAAGCACTGGAAGTTGAGGACCTCCTGCACCAGCCACTCCATAGCCACCACTTCACAACAGCTATATGCAGTGTCTGCAACAACGAATGTCTTCTGGCGAATGCTGAAATGAAAGTAATGAACTTGTCAACTGAATATGCAACATTTGTTTTGCAAATGAGATCTCAGACATATTAGTATGCTTTAATAATGATATGGAACGTGAAAGACCAAGACTCTTAAATTGTTTCATGTCCTCAGTCTCGTCAATTTGAGCTTTTCTTTTGGAAATTTTTGCTATATTTCTCAGTAACTAACATCAGAGAAAATGAATGCAAGGTAATATGCAATGAGCTTCCTCAGATTCTACAATTGCTTTCAAGCTCTGGTTATATGCACTTTCTATAGCCATTTCATTCTGATACTCTAGTGGCTCTCAAGTGAACAAGCCGCGAAATAACATCAGAGCAAGAAACATTACCTGTTGTAAGGCTGGTTTTCTTCGATCCTGACTGCCAGAGTAAGGCAGGCTATGCCAGCAATTTGAAGGCATCTTTTGGTTTTGAAGTACCCTTTGCTTAGGAGTCTGTCAAAGAGATTGACACTTAAGAACATTGTTTCCTTCTGAAGGTCCTTCCTCGTTGCTTGCTGTAAAAGATGTAATGTCTAACATTAGACAGCAAGAGGAACTGCCATAACACTAGTTGAATTAGTCTGTATTTGTAAATTCCAAAGCATAAGCTATTGAAACTGAAACAAATTTTATTTCCTTGTATACCAACTACCTACCAAGGCTCTCAATCAGGGGTTTTAGCATCCTTCAGATAATAAAAAGGTATGTTTTGGATTGCAACCTTTTGCAGATTCAAAAAACTATATATGTATATATATATATATATATATATATATATATATATATATATATACGAATTCAGAGATGCCAAGGAATGGTTTCGCCCAATTCACCATCTAAAGTATTGTAAAATTTCATCAACAGGTCCCACCACCATTGGGTTTAACACGTAAACCTCAAATTTTTATTTATTGAAATTATACATGCTAGAATATACTAATTGAGGTATCATTTTTTACTTGAAGATTCTATCAATGACTATCTGATTTGGCCTTTGACTTTGAGGTAAGGGGAATTCTCTATGCCATTCAAAATGAGAGGGGTATTATTTTCTTTGCATAGAAAGTTAATTAGGTGTTTAAGTAGGATTTACTCTTTCCTTTTTGCTATGATTAATTACCCCATGAGTTAATCTATGAATGAAAAGCAAAACAAGAGATTTTACAATACATACTTTATTTCAATTTATACGACATCCTTTTCATTTTCGGAATTTCCAAAGTGTTTAGCCCTGCCCAACTTTCAAAAATTTCATGAATTTAAGTTTTAACATGATGTACTATCAAACTAACTATTCAGCAAATATTTTTTTTTCTATAACACTAGTATGAAATAATAAGCAATGACTAACATCTTGAACTTTGTATATAGTCAAACACACTTGTGTAGTTGTGCTCTATCATACTTCATGGATCATTTATTACTAACAGTTACTTCTATTTCAGGAAGAAAAAAAAAAAACGGAGATAAATGTAGGGGTATAAGCGCACTCAAACTGCCATAAATTACATGCATCAAGTAACGTTATAGGCTCACGTGCAAACTGGATTCTGTTTCTCTTATTAGTTATTACCAGTAGAAGAAAAATATAACTTCCACATGCACTATAACGGAAACATTCCATGTCACACAGTTTTTTTTATTTGATCAACTAGAAAGGAACGTGGAGAATAGCACGTTCATCACTTAACGGAACTTACCGCAAGGATCCAATGAACCATGTGCAACCGCTGCTGTACGATTAATTCACCGTAGTCCGTTGTAGAACAGTACTCCTCGGCGTAATCGTGTAGATACAATTGCCTCCTCTCTCGCTTCCTTATCATCAAATAACTCTCTTCATCCTCTTCGTCCCATCCCTCCTTCATACATAAAGGAAAATTCATAATGATTGTAAATCTAACAAAATTAATTACAATATCAAAACTGGATAAAAGCCTGAATTTCAACAACAATTCTAACTACGTTCTATACCAATTATCTATATCTACTGTGATTGGTGATATATTTCCTTTGATTCCATTATTCGGTATTTGTAATTTTAACACAACGCTCATCAATTTCAAATTCGATGAGCTTAGAGAGAGATTAAAATAAACACAATCACAATGATTTTAATTCTAACGAATACGTATGCAATATTAAAACTAAAATAGCACGTGAATTTCAACAACCACAAAAAACAAAAGTTACATCTCGATCTCATACGTAGTTGAATCCGCTATTTAAATTCTCTACATGAATTTCAAGTTCGATGAATTTATGGAGAGATTAGATTTTGTGAAATTTAAATTATCAGTACAAAGGAAGAAGATTTGTAGAATTTCAAAATCAATGAATAAACAGAATCATAATGATATAAAGGTGAACAAAATTAATATACAATATCAAAACTACACATAAAGCCTGAACTTCAACAATTATAAGGACGTTCTATCTAAATTCTCTATATTATGATACATATTCATATTCGATGAAGTTAGAGAGAGATTAAAATTTGTGAAATGTAATTCAGAAGAAGTTGAAATTTTATAGAACTTACGGTGAATTCAGTAGAAATGTGATCGTCAGAGGAGTTTATGGAAGGAGACTGCAAAGCGACGGTTGATCTGAAAAAATGTTGACTGAACTGAAGAAACAACGTGAAAGTATGTGACGGAGTAGCATCTGCGTTCGATTTCTCAGAAAATTGGCTTCCAGAGTCGTCGTACCATAGACTATAATCGGAGAGATCTATATCGGAACTCTCAGGGAAAATCTCCGACTGGAGTTCTGAGTAAGCTGATGAATAGTCATCAGAAATATCAGTCATTGAGAAATTTTCAGAACATTCTAGATCAAATTCTGCTTCAACGAGCTTCTCACGTGCTTGTTCTTCAGCAGATAGCTCTACTTCTTCAAATTCCGCTGCTCTGTTTTCTCTACATTTGATTGTTTGAACTGATGAATTTGCACATTTCGACTCAGAAGGCGATTGTAGCACAGAATTGAATGAAACAACATCTTCCGCTGCTCTGTTCTCACTACATTTGATTGTTTGAACTGATGAATTTGCACATTTCGACTCCGACGGCGATTGTAGCACAGAATTGATCGAAAAAACATCTTCCGCTGCTCTGTTTTGACTACATTTGATTGTTTGAACTAATGAATTTGCATATTTCGACTCAGAAGGAGATTGAAGCACAGAATTGAATGAAACAACATCTTCCGCTGCTCTGTTTTCACTACATTTGATTGTTTGAACTGATGAATTTGCACATTTCGACTCAGAAGGCGATTGAAGCACAGAATTGAATGAAACAACATCTTCCGCTGTTCTGTTTTCACTACATTTGATTGTTTGAACTGATGATTTTCCATAATCAGACTCAGCAGGCGATTGTAACACGGAATTGAACGAAGCAACATCTTCATCGTTGATTTTCGCAGCATTTTTAGAGCTTTTACCGCAAAAATCAGCAGAAGTTTTCAGAAATTGCGAAATTGCATCAGAATCCTCAGTTCCTTCAATATCTTTTATATTTCTATTCTGTTTTGATAAGATATCAACTGGATATTCATTTTTCATGATTTTTCCAATAATTTCAGAACACGAATCAACACAAGAGCACTCCGATAATTCCAGATAAGCATCTTTCTTCTGATCATTCTCAAGCATGTTCTTCCTGTAATAAGCTCTAGTAATTCTCCTAAATTCATCTCCTTCGATTTCACGCTTTTTCACTGCCGTTTCCTTATTCACGGAACTTTTGCTCGAATCGCGTGAGACTTCGCAGGTCAAGTGCGATGAATTACCAGCAATAGAGAAATGTAGAATCGGAGAGATATGTGATCGCCGCCGGCGTGGTAGCTTTGACCGGAGCTGCTTCTTCACCGCCGGTTGAAGTGCTTCAGAGTGTAACTTTCGTTTCATTGCTTGTACTTTGGTTCAGAACGTGTGAATTTCTCAACTGGAGTGTTCAAGTTGTGTGTGCGTGATTCAGAGAAACTGAGAGAAAGCCGTTAATAGCGTTTGTTTGCTCGGAGAGGAAATGGGAGTGTGAGGCTTATATACGCTATGGTTGAGTGGGGCCCGACGTTGATGTCCACTTCAGTCACGCTCTTTTGCTTTTTCCCTTTCCTCACATTTTCTTTTTTTCTTTTCTCGTGCGGATTCCGACGTTTGTACCTTTAATTCTAATTTTTAAATTCTCAAAATGATTAATTGTACAAATCCTTCATTTGCCTATTCACTTCATTTCTTGCTAGGAAAGAAAGCTCCATGTACATTACGATATGTTGTAGAAAGAGAAGAAAAATAATTAAAAATTATAGAATATACTTTTTCTATTTCAACTTATGTGATAACTTTATATTTAATCTATTTTAAAAAGAATAACACTGTTTGTATTTAACAATATTTTATTCTTTAAAATTCTCATTTTATTTCACACAAAATATTTATGATATGTTTTAGATTACAAATTAAAAAAATCTTTCTTTCTTTTATACTTTTCATGTTCAATCAAATAGTGCCACAAAAATTGGTAGAGGTACTCCGGCATTGTGGTTTCTATCACGTTTAGCAACTTTTTGGAAAGTTAAAAGTACTTTTTTTATTTGCAGAAAATATTTTTTTGGAAATTTGAGTTTGTTTCGCCAAAGGTTATAAGCATTTTTGCGCCACAGTAGAAATAATATTTATGTCGTTGGGGGAAAGCTATAAATATCTATTTTTTCAGATAAAATATTACTATTATTTATTGAACTAGCTTTCAGAAATTTATCTCATATAGAATATAATGATGCTTTAAGATCACTTATTTTTTATTTTTAATTCTCTTAAGTGTAAAATAAATTTATTTTAGGAGATTTAATATAAAACTTAAAAAAGTTATAATGGACCATAAACCAATTGACCTAAGTTGTATTAGTGGATACCAAAAATTACTCATTAAGTTACTTTCTTAGACATACATGAGTAATAAATTCAAGCATAACTAAGACTCAAAAGTAGTAAATTTATTTGCTTTAGCATAAATTAACTTGATAAAGAACAAAGTAATGTTGGACAAGAAAAAAGGAAGACAAATAATGACCCGACCTAAAGCACTTAGAAAGAACCCCTGCCTTTTTCCGAAATTACTATTTAAGCCACTGCCACACAGTTCGCGTTACTCAATATAAACTCACCTCCCCTGCTATCTCCCGCCAGTTCTCTTCATTTATCACAAATCATTTCGACTAACTTCCCGAGTTCTCCAAATCTCTCGCTCTCTAAACTCTCAGTTCTCTCTCTACAGAAACAATGGTGAGTGCAGCAGAGATATCATCGTTTAATGCTTTTCTCATTTCTCGACTTTTGATTCATTTTGTTTTAATTCACATATAATTCTCACGTTAATTTTCTATCGGATTTTCAGGTTACTGCTCAGAAAGTGAAGGAATCAGAGATTACAGAGCAGGACTCACTCCTCCAAGTAAGAGCCCCTGTTAACTTCATCCTTTCGACGTTTTCTTTTCATCAGCTAATTATGATCGCGCATTAATTTGAGCTTATTACTCCGTATATTTAAACAGGCATTAACGAACATTTATTATCTATAAGAGCAGGCGCAAGCATGTTGTATATATATGTGTAGCTATTCAATTGCAATTGATCGGAACGTTAGTTTGTTAATTAGAGCGTTGATTACATCTTTAGTTTTTGTTATTTAGATTGTTTTTGGATCTCTCTGTTAGCGATTTTCTATTGCTAAACAAACTAATTTTAAAATAATGTGCGACAAGTTCACGATCATCGAACCTGATCTGAATAACTCGTTAGATTTGAGAAGTTATCTTCATTTAGTATCAAAACTTTGCATTATATTCTTATATTATATCGACCTCGCCTTAATCTGTAATTTTATGCTCCATTCACCATTTTCCGGAATTATGTTATTGGCTGTTAACTCCATCTATGTTCAAAAATTCCAGTGACTGTCAAAAGTAACATAATCCGGTCTTGTTCGGTGATCCTTTTACTACTAACATTTCTTAGGGTAAATTCATAGAGAAGTTTAGGCTCTTTTTACTATTGTGAATCTGTATTGTTTTGTGTCTCGGGTAAATTTGCCAGTTTAAATAGTCACTTGGCTATTGGACAGTTAATTGAACTGTTACTTTTCTATTATTTTGAATTCTAACTTTATCTCATGTGTCATTTACATATTAATATTTATCTACTCCTAAGTTCTAAAAACCAGACAAGGAACTTGATGCGCATTGCTTTATTCACCATTGCTTACGTCAGAGGAGGAAGAAATATAATTAGGTGAAAAGAAGTACTATAAGACACGTGTAAATATGAAAGATCTCTTATATTTTTATGTGTAAAATAAATTTATTTTAGGAGATTTAATATAAAACTTAAAAAAACTATAATGTACCATAAACCAATTAACCTAAGTTGTATTAGTGGACACCAAAAATTATAAGTTACTTTCTTAGACATACATGAGTAATAAATTCAAGCATAACTAGACTCAACAGTAGTAAATTTATTTGCTTCAGCATAAATTAACTTGATAAAAAAGAAAGTAATGTTGTACAAGACAAAAGGAAACAGATAGCGACCGAGTTCAAAATAACCCCTGCCTTATTCCGAATTTCAGTTTAAGCCACTGTAGCACACAGTTCGCGTTGCTCAATAAACTCAACTCCCCTGCACTGTCTCCCGCCAGTTCTCTTCATTTCTCACAATTCATTCCGGTTAACTTTCCAAATCTCCGAATCTCTCTCTAAGCTCTCAGTTCTCTATACAGAAACAATGGTGAGTTTGGCAGAGATATCATCGTTTAATGCATTTAGTACCACGCTATTCAAATTTTGACTCATTTTGATTTCATTCACATATAATTGTCAGATTAATTTTCTATCGGATTTTCAGGTTACTGCTCAGAAAGTGAAGGAATCAGAAAAAAACATGTTAGCTTCATCTTCTGCAACCGCTGAAGTAGAAATGACAGAATTGCTTGATTCGCCCTCCTCTGAAACCGATGAAGAAGAAGAAACAAGAAATCGGTTATCGATATTGATCCACCAACACGCAAGATTACCAAGAAATACCCTAAGGTATCCTATTGTACCTTATTGATAATGGCATTCTTAGGTAGACCTATTTTTAACAAGTGGAAGAACTTCTGTAGAAAGAGAAGCAATAATTGCCTTCTTAACAATTGATCTTGACGATACCAATAGTCAGACAGAATTTGCTGTGTAGATGGCTGTGTGGTAACAAACTGTGTGAATCCGTATCCAATAAGAATGGAGCGCCATTGTGAATACCAAGTTTGATAATTCGATGGCGTGAGTTCAATGGAGGAAGGATGACTGAGAAGATGGACTTGTGTTTGGTTGAGAAGGAACAGTGAATGAGGGGATTGGGTTTATTATCTGAGGAGCAAAAGAAGTAGACGTAGATGCTGGATATGGAGTCTGTAAAGAAGGGAGAGAAGAAGGGTCTGATTAACACAAGGTTCCATCAAATAATTTGGAAAAAGGTAGAAGGAGCAGCCATGTGAAAAGGTGACATAGATGTTGCAGGTAGAGAACCCAGAGATGGGTGAAACAACGAAGAGTTGATAGCAGATCCTGGGGATTTAAAGTAGACGACGTAGTAGTTGCAGCCACTGAGGGATGAGTGCCAACAGAAGTGACGGAAGGTGTCCGATGCTGTGAGATACATCGGCTGCAATGATGTCAGTCATGACGGGAGGAGTTATTGGTGCTATAGCAGAACTGGTAGTTGGAATCAAATGTGAGGAAGATTGGGTAGATTTTCCTTCAGAATTCTTGGGGCGTCGAAAAAAATGGGGGATGGTTGCACCGTTAGGCAGTATAGCCCTGATACCATAAAAGAGTTCTATAGAACTCTGAAAAGCTAATGTTATTGATGAACTAATGTGTATGTATACATGAGAATTCTCTGCCAACTAGGGACTGACTAATCCTAAGAATGAGCCTAACTTAGTGTATTTGATATCTAAACGGATAAGGATAAGTATTTCAATATATCTCCTAAATAAAAAGCAATCAATAATATAGATGCTGCTGGACAGAATCACATAATTCCTTCTCTAGTTGTTGACTTGAAGCAACTTCTGTTTTAGTTGGAGAAACTTCTCTAGTTGTAAACTCAAAATTTTATTTAATGCAGCCTCGTGATAAAGTCTGCCGAAGCACTACCAGAACGATCGAGGAGAATTCTGCAAGAGCACCAAACGGTATGGACTACGGTTTTAACACTGGTGGTGCTTATTGCTGGTGGGTCTTATGCAGCTCCAATTAGTATTCACGCTTTGTATCCAGTTTTAGATGCGGATCAAGGGAAGATCGTTCATCTCAGCATGCACGATTTGTTCGCATATCCAAGTGATATTGTGGACGGGTGTGATATTGTGGACGGGTTTCTTTTCTTCACAACAATCACGATTGCTTACATATCAGCCATGATAGTCATGTTGGTTGCAGTTTGCATGATATGTAGGAAACGGGAGTGGGGGACTTCCTTGTCAGTTTTTGCCTTTTTTGTCATAACAACCATGTTAGTAAGCTTTTGCAGTACGCTAAATAAGCTCAATCCCCGTGTCGTAAGAATAGATGGAGTGAATGTGGAATTCGCAGGAGGTTATGTTTCGGTGTTCTACAGTGTGTACGTTATTATTATTGCCGGTATAGTGGCACTTATTTTCCGGGGTATCCGTGGAGCTTTGTAGTAGAAGGGTAAAAGTTCAACATGATTGACACTTTAGTTTTAGCCTTTAGTGTAATCTCAGCCTAATAGCTGCACCATTATTTGGAGCCAGTCATTGTTTTGGGATATTAAAGAAATCTTGTGCAAGTATTGCTGCTATGCTATGGCCCATGCGATGTTGTGTGTAGGAGTGCTTTTTCCCATGTGATGCCTATGGCTCTTTTAATACTTCTATTATGTTAGCTGCTTCCGCTGTGATTTTTCTCTTTCTTTTCTTTTGTTTCTTTAACACTGAATCATCGACCAATGTAATTGGGTTGATATACATCTGAATCAGTTACATTATTTGGCTTGGCAAGCAGTATTCTTTAAGATTGGTATATTGTCCCCGCGAAGCTTCACGCACTATCTTACTTTGTCAAGTAGAATCAATCCAGTTCCCTGCTAAAATGTTTTGAGGGTTAATACTCTGCTCCACTTCCTGGGTTATTTATTATCTTAAATTGAAAATTCCAGTTCAGCGCCTCCCTCATAGCTCCATTCTGTTTGAGGGTTAATACTCTGCTCCACTTCCTGGGTTATTTATTATCTTAAATTGAAAATTCCAGTTCAGCGCCTCCCTCAGAGCTCCATTCTTCATATAGCAAGTCATGTAGCGAATTAGAACTTGTCTAAAATCCATATCAAGATAAGAATTGGTTAAATTTAATGTTTTCATATTGATCATCTCCATTAATTGTCAATCTCCAAGACAATTGTGCAATTGACCATTACCATTATGAGATTGTTAAAGCCTTATAAAAGCTCAAGCTTTAGGGCAGATGGTAACTTCATACACCAAATAATATGTATGCTGGAAGTTGTTTCCATTCAATACAACCACAAAATCATCAAATGACAAGTCCAAAAACTCTCCTACAATTGCTATTCTTAATATGTGGATCCACCTTTTTATTTAACACATGAAACTACACAAGAGTACCTTTACTGAACCATATACATCCTTATACATTCATAAATTTCAGATCTCTCCAAGTACCTGATCCTTTAAATAAGTAGCAGAACTGCAAGTCTTACTCTGCAAAGTTGCACAGTTTTCCAGAAGCTGCCAATAATAGTAATGGGACGGAAAGGAAGAGTACCAGCCAGGATCCCAGTGGTAACATTGTCATGATCATGCTCATGTAGGAGACAAAATACATAAATATTGTCATATGAGTCCACAGTTTCAATGGTAAACTGCGCAGAATGGACATAACAATAGCCAATGATGCTACAAAACCTGTTGAGTTAAATAATATGAATGGAGAAGTAACGGACGAATCTCTTATACATTGAAGTATTCGACCTGTATTATCACCGTCAGAGATGTGATTAGCCTTGGCAATGAAGCGCGGCAAGTGAGAAACTGCTGTATACATTACAGTAGCTAATAGAGTAGCCACAAGTAATAGAACACGTTCTTCCTTTACATTGAGGGCAGCATTGGTATTTAATCGTGATCTCCCCTTCTCATTCCTGGAAGAATCTACAGCAGAGCAGCTGCAGTCATTCTTTTCTAGGTCTTTGAACTTGCCAACTCCAGCCAGCTTAGGGATCTTCTCTGCTGTCGTGTTGCTATAACTAAAAGGAGGTAGATGACGCAAGCATTTAAAAGCGTTAGCTATTTACGAACTGAAAGTGCCGACACCCGAAAACTTGGTGACTTCTGGCTCACCAACACGTGCCAGCAAATTCTGCATTGATACAAATGTGTAAAATATGAGTAGCTTTCTAAGGTAACTAATATAAATTCCCCACCCCTCTACTTACTAGTTGCCAGAACACACCCTTTTTATATAAATCAAGAAAAAATCCTCGCAGGAGTAATAAGAGTGAGAAGAACCACCACAGAAACAAAAAAAAATTATTTATGAAGCAGGAAACTGAGCAACAAATCTTTCCAGTAATAAGGTGCATCTACCTTCTCAAAAGGCCCATGGTACATCAAGGCAAAAGGAGGATGACACAAAGAAGCAAGATTGTCTGGAGCAGCATCTGTTGTAGGAGTAGAACGTTTCTCTGCCTCCAGGACTCCAGGGCACTTCATTTCCTCCTCAAAGTTGCAGGAGGGAGCAACTAATCGAGGTTCACGTGATGAACCTCCCACTCCCGATGAACTAAAGAACACAAGGAAATCAATTCAATACAAGGATACAAATGGAAGGGTTAAAAACACCCTTTAGAAAATCAAAATGGCAAAATAGCATAGATTAGCAATGCACACAACCGCTAGTAATCTTTGTCAGCGAATTTCACTATCTAAGTGCATGTACAACTAGGCCGCGCTCCAGAAATTGCAAAAAACAGTCTTGTCAAAAGCGAAAAGCACAAAAAAGCACTAAAACCCTGCTGGGACTTAAAGCACAAAGCGCACTTAAAGCGAGGGCTTGACCAAAAAAACGCAATAAGGAGAAAACTGCTTAATATGCAAAGATATGAAAAGATAAAGGCATACTTAAGTCTTAACATGAAAGCTAAACCCATACTTAAGTGTTAATATGAAATTCTAAACCATACTACTTCTAATCACTAATATAATCATATTCTTCTATGTAATTTTCCTCAGAAGGGTGACCCTCATTGGTATCACTCGACTTATAGCCTTCAGGAAAGAGCCATACCATTTGTGAAAGAGGTATGATAGTTGAGTTGTTGGCACTGAGAGAACAATGAATGCAGTTCATAGTACAATTTGATCGCATCACAACCATTATAATGAAAAGAGAAAGACAAGAAGAGGAAGAAGAAGACGACAGTAGGTTTTAATCTATGAGCAACATCAATTATTCTGAGTGCCAGATATCTATAATAACGAGGAAACACATTTTTCCCTGGATAAATATCTATGTGAGGGAACTTTATGATGCCTCACATAAGACAAGAATGTAGAACTATTCTTGTGCAACATAACAAGCAGAGAACTAGAAACCTGAACCAGCAACCAGCTTGATCCTTATTGCACTTTTGAGAAATTCTATTGGGCAAATGCATATTATCCATATATAAAAGAACAATGCTATGAACATTTCGTTTTGAAAAAGATGATTTGAGCTTGTGCTGGAAAGCACCAGGTTACCCTAAAGTCTCCAAGTTAGTTGTGGCCGATGAGTGTTGGAAGTGTACAGTGAAGACATGATTTCCGGAAGAAACCATATCCTCAAACCCCAAAAAGTTGAGTGGAGATGCACAATATTAAAGCCAGAAACAATAAGAGGGAAAAAGATTGCTCTATCAAACGTGAGGAATTGGTGTGATGGGAATAATATGGAGAGAGAGAGAAAAAAACTCTAAGAACAGTATAACTTTGTTTTGATTCAATTTGCTTGAATGAGAAACTAACAAACACAAAAGGCTCACATATAGACAACCAGAGTACATTAAGAAGCATGAGAAGTAGAACAGGTAAAAACAAAAATTGAAAGATACAAAAAGTAATTAAAAAAGACAAAAGAATTAACTAACATAGAAAGATCACAGGGTATTAAAAATACCTCAAGCTCGGATCACCAAGAAGTGCATCATTTCCCAATTGTGAAGAATTAACAGATGCTGCTGCCCCACCCTCATTTCCGATGTAGGAAAGCTGAATTGCTTCCTCAAGATTCCAACTTGTTACCTGCCACACAAAATATTTACAATCCACCTTATAGAAACTAGGCTCAAAAAATTACCAAAATGGAGAAAAGTCATCAATTCTGCATAGGCCCCTGATGGAAACAGGATTCAACAAGAGCCAACAAATAGCCAAAATCAAGCAAAGGTCAATGTCATCAGTAGCAACAAAACCCTCAACCTACCCAGAATTTCATTACCTGCTTACTTACCCACCCATCGAGATATTACCAATACGTGAAATAAATGTCTCTCCACGCCCCAACAACTAAAAAGATCACAAACTAAGTTGTCGACAAAGCTCGAGAAAATAAATTTGTGTGTGATATAGCGTCAGAAGGCCAAAGAGCTCAGGAAAACTGTTCCGGCCTGTGTGTGTTGCGTTCTATGGACAGAAAGGAAATCCAGATGATTTGAGGGCAAAGCTACTACTGTACATTGGATGAAATACAGATTCCTGTGTCTGCTAGCCTTTTGGTGCTAATTTCAGATGGGTATGAAATTCGCAAGATGATAGATTTCATTAGCTCGCTACAAGATTAGAATCTTTTGTTCAAAGGTTATCCCCTTCTATTGTTTCATCACAGGGGAATGCACAGTTTTGTACCGGCTAATCACCATCTTGGTGTCTGGTTTTATTCTATTAATAACATCTTTTATTTACTGATAAAGAAACAAAGGGAAGGGCTCAATTAATATAACAGCAAACAAAAGTACAAAGTCTAATGTACAAGTCTCATCCATCTATTTCCTGTGCTAAAAGTTGAACATGCTTTGCCAAACAAAAAGAAACCCCAAAATTCATTTAACTTCCACAGGATTGACATCATCTCATATTCTAGTAACAAGATAGAATGTAAAATTGGACATACATCGTGATTCGTGACATAAAATCTAGGCCCCAAAGGGGCTAAATTTTCTATTATTCATAACGGTTATGTCCAGGTTGTACGCACCTCAACTACTCCACATGCATCCTTCCACTAGTACATGCCCCAAAGTCTTAGGTGGCTGAGAAGTAATCAACCCATCCCTTCGGTGCAAAGCTCAAATCTTTTATTTTTTAATAAGTAAATTCTTTTTTATAAAGCTTGGATCTTCAAATCAGAAGATTTAAATAAAAAAAACCCGAGAACAAACACAAAAGCTCAAAAAATTAACTTAATTTCTCAAAACGATAATGCCCAAAAAAATACTCTTTAACTCCAACTTTAAATATATAGTAGAGAAAAGGTTTGATACAAATATATAATTATGCTAGCACACTACTCTCTTTAACACCCGAACAACAACAAAAACAACAACAAAAACAACAACAAACCCAGTTTGATCCCAACCCGAACTAATACCTAGTTAAAAAAATTAAAACACGCACACACTGAGAGTACATCCACACACATAATTAGAACTTAAATCCTGGATATGCTACTATACATAAAGCAAAATATCATACATAGTGATATTAAAAAAAAAGGAATATTTTTTAGAACCTGGAGGAACTGTCGGGCAGTATCGGCGGTTTGACCAACGGTGATTTCAAGGAAAGACGAAACTAACATCTGCTGGTCCGTCGCAGAAATTACGCCGTCCATTGCTTCTCTCCTCTGAGTGTTCCGGCTGTTAGTTTTTGTAGAAAGAGAAAGTTGAAACCCTAATTCTGATGAAGTTTACTCTCTGTAGATTTGTTTCCACACCGCACCCACTGATATATATAAATAAGTCTGGTTCGTTCCTTCTCCGGCTCAGAAAAGGAATTATTATTATCATGTTTAATTTACATATACATCCACTGAGTTTTGTTCTAATTACAGAAAGCTCCTTTCTAGTTTTTTTTCTCCAATACCATTGTAAATTTGTAGGAATAAATTTTGGCAGAATAACTAAAAGCCCTCCTATATTTGGCAAAATTTAATTCAGTTGACACTAAATTTTATGTTGTTCTAATTACCCCCTGAATTTGAATATGTGTTACCATTTACTATCCCATTGACCTCACCTAATGGAAATTTTTGTGATACGTGGCAATTTTGAAATTAAATACATTTTTATCCTTTTAAATTCGTCATGTTATAAAATAATAAAAGTAGAAGAACAATATTATAGAGAAAGAGAGAGAGAGAGGGGAAATTCTTATTGATATGGGATGAATTACAATGGAATAGAACCCTCTATTTATAGGGGGAGGGTGACTTAGAGGGTGTTTGGCTAAGCTTATAAGCTGGTCAAACTGGCTTATAAGCACTTTTTGGCTTATCTACGCGTTTGGTAAAATTAAAAGTGCTTATAAGTTAAGTGCTTATAAGCCAAAAATAAGCCAAAAGTCATAAGTTGGTCTCCCCCAACTTATCAAATTTCAGCTTATAAGCACTTTAAGTTTGACCAAAATATTTACTATTCTATGCCTAAAATACTTCTTTTTAAAACAAAACTCTTCGTATACCCAATTCTTCAGCTGCATATTATTAATTTCAGCACTTTTATCCAAACACGTAACTGCTTATTTTTTAAATCAGTTTCAGCACTTAAAAGTGCTTTTCAGCACCTAATGCTTATCAGCTACTCTAAATCAGCTAAGCTAAACGGGCTCTTAGCCACCAAGTAATAAACCCTAGAATCTCTCCAAATATAGACATTCACCATAAATAAAATTCTATTTATAACACTCCCCCTTGAATGTCTATTCAACAGATAATGTGCCTCGTTAAAACCTTAATTAAAATAAAACCCAGTGGGAAAAAAATTCTAGAGAAGGAAAAAGAGTACACATATCTAACAATACGCCTTTTGGTTGCCTCGTTAAAAACCTTGCAAGGAAAATCCAGTGGGATAAAACCTTGTAAGGGAAAAAAAGTACAACGCGTATTAACTCCCCCTGATGAGAGCATCAATTCACATCCTCAAGCATTTGCATTCCAATCTTGTGCACCATCTTCAAAAGATCTTTGGTAGAGATTTGATAAACAAATCAACTATATTAACTTGAACGAATTTGTTTCACTTTGAAATCATCATCCCTAATAGATGTATTCTCTTCATATGACCTTGTTGTAATCGTCAGTTCAATATCTTCGCATAGAGGTGAAAACTCTTGCTATCATATTATCATGCATATAGTTATAGCAAGATACATTTGTGCACAAATTGCACTGAGGATGTAGTACTTCATGACCATGAATTCTATATGCTTTAAGTAATTTAAATCCTTCAGGGATTGTTAAGTCATATAAGCCATAAAATAGACCTTGGATGCATATCAAGTTTTCATGTCATGCTAGACATATAGATATTGAAAACTGATTGCACATACCATTGACTTTATACTTTCAAGTGTTTGAACTACATGTTCAAAACTACATGTCTTTCATATGAAACCAATTCTATTTGAATTGTGTCTCTTTCATTTGGCCAATATTTTTGTGTCTGTAAGCGACAGACTTAAGATCCTCATCTATACTTAGCGCTATCATAGATGTCGTCGACAAACATTTTACATCAGTTTCAATATATTTTCATAATGACATAACATAGAGATCTCTTCATTCATATATTCAGGTACCTGAATCTCTCATGAGATATTATGAAGTGCTATGTCATGTGATCTTCTAGATCACTTGCCTCCTTTATTATGATCATTTGTTCATCTTCTTTATCAAGAAGTTTATTTGAAACCGATTTGTCTATAAGCTTTAATCGTACCATAGACTTTGTCCTTCTAGGACTTAATAGGATAATTTGCAATGAGAATATAGTTACTTTCTTTGGGTCAGCAAATGTGTCTGGCATGCTTTGCAATATATTGCAGATGAATTATCTTTTTATGAACTTCAAGTTCATATTATCTTATTCGAGGATCTATATGAACAAATGATAATTCATTCCACGTAACTTTTTCTCAACTGTTTATCATGTCTCCCCCTCATGTTAGAAAAACTAACTTGTTTCCTCAACTTTGAGAACCTATCTTTGTGCGTTATGGTGTTAATCAAAATATACACTTGTGAGGGGAGAAAATAATATACTTTCGTATATAACGTATATCAAACTGATATATATAACTTTGTTCTCATAAGCAAAAGTTTAGCTATTAAGTGGAGGCACTCAATAAATCATTTTGCTAAACCAACTGTGATGTAAACCAACTTATCAAGAAGAACTATCTTGAATAAAAAATTTGGAAATTATGCTCTATATTAAATTATTGAGCAAGTTACCTCGCAAACACCAGGTTGCGGGTCAATAATAATTGCACATGTAACCATCTCATAGATGCATCTTATGTGGTATACATGGCAGGTGAATGGGCCCATATTCACCTTTGATATTTCCAGCATTCATGGGATTCAATCCCAATTTAATTGGTCTATTAATTAATGAGAACAAGCAATGTAAGAGAATTTGTAAAGAACTTTCTAGTTCTTTAATATTTACCCATGTGAATTCTCTTTTATTTTTGCACATCATACTTGAATTAACATGGCTAAACCAATTATGCCAACTGGATAAATTATCAATATTGATAAACTTCAGGTTTACACCATGATGTGTGCAATTATGAATAAACTCCAAGTTTATTATGATATGGGTTTTTATATCAATAAATATCCACTTCATTATGGTATTCTTTTGTTTATGTAGTACAAATTGGAGAATAAAGCGGGTAGCTTTTCACATACATATTACCCCGCTACAAGTTGTAGTAATAGAAGATATTAAATCTTTCCTTTATTTATAGTCTCAATATAATCAACCGCTTTCGCGTATACTTTGGAAACTGAATAAGTTTCTTTGAGACTTACTACAACACAATACCTTATTGGTAATTAATTGTGTTTCTCCAAAATAGTATAACTGGCTCTTGCAGAGTTCTCAATTAATTTTGTAGTATCACATATTCATCAACACCCATAAGGTGAATATCTCTTTTAAAGAGAAAGTTATACCATTATGGTTATGGTCAAAATTATATGCAAGATCTGTTTCTTGCATTACCGTTGTCTTTTAATAATCACAATGCCAAAATATTTTGGCGTACAATAGGTACGTGACCAATGACCATTCATGCCATTCTTATATCATCTCAAACCTCCTTTTAGAGGTGAGTGCGGTATATTCACTACCACTAGCACGTTCATATTCTTTGAAGAATGAATATGTATTCATAAATCAGATGTTGTCACATTCACATCATGAATGGACCATAATCATCTATATGTGCTTTACAAAATCTCATGTCAAATCGATGACAAATATTTTTCACAGAGTGAAAGATTATTTTGAGAATCCTTATTGTTCTCATTACCACAAATGATGACGATTATAATTTCGTCTATTGCCACGTCCATATCCATTGATACATTCATAGTAATAATTTTGTCTTCTTTCAGACTTATCACATACTGCTATCACATTCTCTTAAGGGAATGGGAATGGAGCAAATTCAATGGGATGGGTTTTCAATTCTTTGCCCACAATCATACATGAATTTGATCATGGCGAGGCATAGAAATTTTACCACTTCAGGTGGTTATAATTTCTTACAAACTCCATTAGAGTTATAATCAAACTTTGTTGTCTTTGCTTGTATATAAAATCAAATTATAGAATTTCAAGAATTTGAAAGAGAAAAGTAAAATACTTACCTTAAATTCAGAATTTAATCATCAAGGAAGTTCATGGAACAATTGACAATCATTATGCTCAATCCCAAAGCTTCTACCCAATTAGTTAGAGTCTCGTGCTGATAACGTGTTATAAAATAATAAAAGTAGAAGAACAATATTGTCGAGAAAGAGAGAGAGAGAGGGAATTCTTATTGATATGGGATGAATTACAATGGAATAGAACCCTCTATTTATAGGGAGAGTGACTTATTTACCAAGTAATAAACCCTAGAATCTCTCTAAATATAGACATTTACTATAAATAAAATTCTATTTATAACACGTTAACTTTTTATCATCTTTTACGGACAAGATTTGTTTATAAACATGAATAGAACTCTATTATTTACTCGCACCCCTCTCTAGGAAAATTCTCCAACTTCTCACTAAACAAGATCATCAGACTGCTGAGAAATAGTGCAAACACTGCTATGGAGGATCAAAACACCCTAGCAGATTCTTCTCCCATTCCCCCTAAACCACCAGATATTCACCAAGAAACTAGTATAATCCCCCAGCAGTCCAGAAAACCGGTGTAAACTACCCAGCAATCCAACCCAGCTTCAGGGAAAAATTGCTTGCAAGCGAGCAAATAATAGATATTGACATGGACCTTCAAGATAATGAAGATAAGCAAGGAGCTTGTGTTTCCAGTGACCAAAACCTCAATAACTTATCCAGTGCAATAAAGGCTATACAATTATCTATCTCGGAAAAAGAAAGACTATACTCCACTTGGAAATATTCACTAATCATAAAGCTCTTTGGGAAAAGAATTATGCATCACTATCTCAAATCAAAGATACAACATTTATGGAACCCTACAGAGCAATTCCCACTAATTGATCTGGGATCTGACTATTACATAGTGAAATTTACAAAGGAGGAAAACATGAATAATGTCCTTAACAACGGGCTTTGGTTTGTTAACGGACACTTCCTCTTTGTCAAGAAATGGGAACCCAACTTTATGGCTGCGAAAGCAAAACAAACGTATGTAGTTGTCTGGGTTCGATTGCCACAACTACCAACGGAATACTATGGTGGAAATCTTCT